GTATTAGAAATTTAGATTTTAAGTCCTATGTGCAACTGGACATACATTTTGGGAATTGCTTTTATAGCTTTAAGGTAAGAAGGTGATATAAACAGGCTAGCCTGATACATGAAGTACATATAAATACTGTATTAAAAAATAGCTGAGTATCCTCAGGGTTCCCTGATAAAGGTGAAGAATAATGATCTTGTTTTACCAAGAGAAACCTTTTACACCTGGTTAACAACCAGCCCACATCATAAGAAAAATAATATAAGCCATTTCGTGTATTAATGTCACTAACTCTTTACGGTTGCCAAAGTCCTGATGTCTTGAAATACGTGCAGAGGACAAATGAGCAAGACTTCAGTCCACAGGCGCATTCAAATAAAGGACTTCAAGTTGCCTCCAAAACTGCTCGATGAGATGACTGCAGTCCCCAGGGAAGGAAATGAACGAGAGATGCTGGTAGGGAGGAAATATTTCCAACATAATATTTCAAAGACAAACAGAGATGCATTATCTGAAAGTACAAGTTTTCACACTGCAGACCAAGTGTTCGGGGCTTTCAAAAGCCATTTGAGCCCTTAGTGGCTTCAAGTGATTCACAAGTACACCTGACTCTTAACTGAAAAATTGTAAGAAAAGAAAGGAAATTTTTTAGATGGAAAATCTGATGCTATAAAACTTGGACTTGCCTTTTTTTTAAACAAGCATGATTTTACAAAAATTTTTAAATCAGAATTTAGAGGAGACTGTCAATTAGTGAAAAGCAGCCCTAGTGGTGCAATGGTTTAAGCACTTGGCTGCTAACTGAAAAGGCAAGTTTGAATCCACCAGCTGCTCCACAGCAGAAGGATGTGGCAGTCTGCTTCTGTGAAGATTTACAGCCTTGGAAACCCTATGTGGCAGTTCTACTCCATCCTATAGGGTTGCTATGAGTTGGAATTGACTCGATGGCAACAGGTTTTGTTTTGTTTTTTTTTTTGGTCCATTAGTGTAACAAGCCCACACCAAACCCAAGGAGCGGCAGGTGGTGGATCTGTAGAGATAACCGCCTTGGAAACCCTATAAGGTTGCTAGGAGTTGGAATTGACTCAATGGCAATGAGTTTGTTTGTTTGTTTGTTTTGTATATAACGAAGATGACACAGACTCCAATATTCAAGGACACATTTTAACTTTTGTTTTTATTTAAATAATGCTAGTCCAAATGCTTTACTGAAAGAATGAAAAACGAGAGGTGTCAGGTCATGGAGCTCTATGGTGATGATAGGAGACAGGGTGGGCCTGCCTTTGCTTCTCAAGAATCTCTTGTGACTTCTGACAGTCTAGTATCTGCCAGACGGAGGAAAACAGAGCATTCATTCTAGGGAATGGCAATTCTGCAACTTCAACTTTTTAAACCACAGCAAGTTATTGTTAGAAGTATAGGTGATAAATGTTGGGTGCCTCTATTTGGGCTACAGTAGCAATTTCATTTTTCATTTTCACTACTATATGCTCAAAGGCATAAAGTTCTACATTTTGAAAGGTGGAGGTCATCCGATTACATGTAGTTTTGACTATCTTCCTGGAAGGGTACTAACATGTTGCTGTGTTTAGAATTCAGTTTATTCCTGCAGAGAGCAAGGCAGCAAGTTCATATCCACAACTGTCACATGACTTTGCACCCAAGTCAGAGTCAAGCTGTGCCAGGGAAGGAAACCGGCCACAGAAGCATTCCTAGGGTTTCGATAATGAGAGTACCCGAAGACAGGTGACACTGAAATCCTGCAAAAAATGCAGGCATGGCAAACCTGAGAGAGTTTGTTGCCTCAGTGTGGGTTGTATAGGTACGTGACTTCAGAGGTCAACAGTAGGGGCTGATCTATTAGAATCCTGGGTGACTTGGGTTGGCCTTGGGGTCAGGGAGGACATTAGCATAGTGTGGATATGGCAGGAGAGCCTAAAATAGGGGCAGATGAGGTTAGAACTTAAAGGTCAGGCTGGTTTTCCCAGAGCAAATTTGTTTATTTTGTTACTAATCAAAAGCAAGGGAGACTTCTCTGAAATTTGTTTGGAACCTAAAGTTCTGTTTCTAGATGAAAGCATCTCTCTTAGCCTTAAATTAGATGTGTCGTTTTATGCAGAAATGAAACTAAATGGAATCTTTCTTGGTTTAAATTTTTGTTTCTCAAATAGGGATAAGTTTATGTGTTTTTATTGCTGAACATGAGAGAATTTAAAACTTAAAATATGTAACTATTTTTATATCATATGTTGGTGCATGAAATGCCTTTATATGCAAACTTTCCCAAATTTATTTTCCAGCTTTATTTTCATGGTTTAGGTTTGATTCAAGAAAACCAGATGCTTTTGTGAGGACAGCTTCCTCATTTGAAGCCCATGAATATCACAATTTTTATGTTTTGTTTTGTTTTAAATTGAGAGAAAATACTGGGACAGTTTGTTTGGGGAGGGGGTATAAGAATCTTGGAAAAGGAATGACTTATTCAAGGACCATTCACATCCTTGGCTGCCAAATGATGTGCAGTTGGGTTTATAGCACAAATTTTAAGTAAACCGATTGGAGGTATTTACTCCTTCTAACACACACACACACACACAAAAGCAAAAAACAAACAAAAAAAAGGTTTTCTAAATAAATACGCCATTTCATTATTTGTAAGAATTTGATCCCATTTAAAACAATGAAGTGTTATTTAATTATGTAAGAGCCAACACAAATTAAAAAACCAAACCAAATCCATTGCTGTCAAGTCCATTGAGTCCATTCTGACTCATAGCAACCCTATAGGGCAGAGGAGAACTGCCCATAGGGTTTCTAAGGCTATAATCTTTACGGAAGCAGACTGCCACATCTTTCTCCTGCAGTGGGTTGGTGGGTTTGAACTGCCGACCTTTTGGTTATCAGCCAAGCCCTTAACCACTGTGCCACCAGGGCTCCTTCAATACAGATTAGATACAGAAAATATAACAAGATTATTGTGAATCTTTGGATATCACTGAACTAAGGTTAAGAATAGAAAATGCATTTACCATAATTGAAAGGAGAAAAGATGAAAAATAGACTTAATTTTATCATGTGACCTTTAAATGGAAACGCCATATGCACACTATTTTATTACGCTATAGATTTGATCTTTTTATTCGTAAAGAAACAGTTAAACCGTAACAAGAAAAAGAAAAGTTGGTGGTTCTGGAAGACTGGATGCATAAGACTATATATTGTTTCAACTATCTTCCTGAAAGGGTACTAACATGTTGCTATGTTTAGAATCCAGTTATGTAACCAACTGGTTTTCAACTTTCAAGTCAGACACTAGTCAAGGAAATAATATGACTTTAGCTAATGGGAAAAACAGCCAGCCAGATTTCTCCCAGCTGTTTCTCCCCTCTGTGGCCTTCAATAACTTTAGTGGAAGTTTAGTGTGTTCAGGGAGAAAGATGGCCAGAAGAATCAAAATTACTAAACCAAAAAGGTCAATCTTCAAATTAAGTCTTGGACCAGATTTAGTGCAGAATAAGGTTTCTTCCTCATAATGTCCCAGTGCTACAAGCAATATGGCTGACCAGCCACAATTGAAATGAGGCTGATATCACACGTAATTGAGGTTATCCTGCCAAAGGGGTGAAGCAAAGGAAAAACAGTTTCTGGCTTTGAAACATGTAAATGAAGCTATTAGTGTTTCCTTAACATTCCTTCGGATTTCCAATTCAAGCGTATAGTGACAGCAAGAGATAGGAAAAATCCTCAGAGGAGACAGGTCCTTGGATTTAATTCCATATAAACAGACGGCCAAGGAATTCTGACAAAATTGTTGCTCAGAAAAAGTTGACTTTGCTTTGAAGTTCTTGTGTGTTCCATATTTAAAGTCAAACACCTTCATTCATCCAACAGTAGCATAGGACACTGAATAGCATGATTTAATGGTTTTATTTATTTATTTATTTCAGATTTAAAAAGATCTTTCATAAGATTCTTCCCTATTTAGTTAGAAAATCATCAGATACTATGTTTTCAAGGATTTTCCAAGTACTTCATATGAGTTACTTGAAACTTTCAGGTCTAACTGGCCTTGATGTACTTTTTTTTTTTAATGACCATAGATGCTGAAACAGTGGCTTAGACCAGCTCCTGCTAAACAAAAAATGGACTGTATGACATTCCTACTAATACATAAAGGAAAATCTATTTAACTAGCTTGTATCTTTAGGATTTAAATAAAATCTGCTCTTTCTCCCTTATTTTCTTCTCTGTTAGTCATTTATTCAAGGAGATAAAATGCTATGCTGTTGGTCAACACATCAATGGAAATACTGAAGTATTTTCTCAATATCCCAGATATTTCTCTAGAGTGTTATAGATACGTGGAACACCAGAACTGTGAGCCACTCCTTCAAAATACGCTCCACCTACTAAAACCCGATAATGCTCACTAGCACATTAACAGCTCTGAGACATTCTAAGTCTCACGTACTACCTAACACCAAACAAACTTTGGGACATTGCACCTGTTATTTTGTCCTGTCCCCC